ACATTTAAATGACGTCATTTGTAGTACGAGGACGGGTAATTATACTAGAACGTTATTTCAAATAAAAACAAATTGATATTATAATGTTGATGATAAACTGTTTTAAACGTAATTGAATATACATGTTTATATCACAGATATATCATCAGAAAATATCTGCAATATACATAAACATGTTTAATGGAATTTGTATGTTCTTTAATACAGATGTATTGATTAATTAAATTTATCAATACAATACAATACAATACAATACAATAAAGTTTAACATTATACAACGTTTCTAGCAAAATATATAGACAGGAAACAACGGAACATTTTGGATTTGCAACAAAATACAAATAGAGAGACTAGATATAAGTTCATTGCCTCATCTTTAAGATGCAGAATATTTTGGTCTTGACAGGTTATATGTGTGTGATGAAAAAGAGGAGTACACTATTTAAGAGTAAATCCTAAAGTGCAAAGTAAATAAAAAACAATAACACTTGGATACTTTTCGAGATAAATATACAATGATAGAAAAAAGTAAAATAATCTCTTATCTGCTAAATAAATAATATAAATATATGATTTGATATTTCTTTGTGATGAAATGTACATAAAATAAGATTTATACACAATTTAAGAGAAATTGTTAATTATATTTTCTTTTAAAGGCAAAGTGTCAACTTTTAAATAAATGTGAAATATCTTTTTTAAGAATAAGGTATCACCCTGGATGAACAAATTTTGTCACGTGACCATAAATGCAAACGCCGATTTGTGATTTTGGCATACACGGACCCGATCTCAGGTAATCATTTGCAGATATCTTTTTTTCCACTGCGAGCACAAAAATAAGACATAGACCGTAGGACCCGGCGTAAATTAAGCTTTTATTTTATGTGAGTAGTCATTACTAGACTTTAGTTGTTTTTTAGAACACTTCGACACAAATTTTCTTTTTGCAAGGCAAACGCCGATAGCTTTTATCTTTTGTAATCTTTTTTGTTCACTGAAAACCCATGTAGAGGGAAAATAATAGAAGATATATCTTTTTACAAGCAATTCTCGTCCATAACTTATTAATAATTCCATTGGCAAGGTTATATTCGATATAAACACATGTTTTTCCACTTAGTGTCGATTTTGCAAACGTCGTTTGATCATGAGAAATATGCAAACGTCGGTTGGTCATTTGAAATATATGCAAGCGCCCGTTGATGTCTTTTTGAACGCTGGACTATATTGTGTTTGCTTAATTAAATTTAGTTTGTTTCTTATTTCAGATGGCGAAGAGGAAGTCAAAACTTGCGTTGCATCGCCCAAAACGCAAACATAAATTTTATCAAGTTGGACATTTTCACACCGGCGAAGATTTTTCCCCCAAGTCATCATCACTGAAAAAGCGTAAATTTTTACCAAGACAATCACCGTTCGAACAAACATACCGTTCACCTTTATATAAAAGTAAACGCCTCGGACGAAAACTCACGCCAAAGCCAACACCAAATTCAAATAGAACGAAACGTAAACTTTCACCACTGCAGCCATCATTGAGGTCTCTACTTTATATTGCCAAACGCCTTCCTCAAAGAGTTCTTTTTGAAGGTGATGATGAACCTGAAATTGATTGGTTTCAAGAAATCAATTCACAACTTGACAATCAAGGGAACAATATTGATGAAAATGATAAGACGTTTAACGAAAGTGTTCCAAACGAAGGTTCACCGGATACAATTTTGCAAAGCGAACATAAATTGTTTGAAAATGTCACGGGGTCTAAAGAACATAAAAATAGTGCGGACAATGAGATGAATATAATTGTAAGTGAGTTAAAAAAGTTAGTTGAACCTGTAGTTGAAAAACTACAAATTAACTGTGACAAATTCCCTGTAAATAACATAGTGTTGCTTCTATGGTGCGATGTTGTGCGATGGTTCGATAAAGATAGTACCAAAGGAATGCGTTATTGCGAAGACACCAAACTTTTTTGGAAGATGGGATGGCGCATATTTGGTGGGAGATTTGTGAATTTCATGGCCGGGTTTAAAAACAAATATGAAAACTCACATAACACAATGTCAAATAGTAAATTTTCTCCATCAGCAGCAAGAATAAATTTCGCCGTTCCAGACAGAAAAGTATTAACTACGTTCGATCCTTATGATTGTGAAAGCCAGCGAAATCCTGGTATTTACGATGATGTCATTACAACATTGAGCAAAAATCTTGGACACGTGTCGTCTTGTCTCACATTCGATGGGAAAAAACTGAAACAGGGTCTTACTGAGCATTATGGAGACGTTGATCTCATTGGATTTGAAAAAGGTCTAACCCTAATGGAGAAGAAATCACAACTTCAGAAATCAACTTATGAATTGAATTAATTCATAAGCCAGGTTCAGAGTCATTTTGATAGCCATACCCCTTTGGTAGACTTACCTGAAGACATGAAAGGACAAATTCGACACGTAGGTACACTTAAGACTGTCTCATTAGGAAAACGCGAATTGGAAGAGACCAAGAAGAAAAAGGAGTATGCAAAAGAAAAACTGATTGAACGGGGTGGCGAATCAAATTGGAGAAATAGTCGATTTAGTTACGCCATAAGTGCTATGATGGCGTACGTGTACGACATCAATCAGTTTATTCAGAAATCAGAAAAAGTCATTCGAGAACTGTGCATATGTTTAGGTAAAGTGAATAATTGCCGCAATATTGACGATGTGAACGTTGACCTCGAATCAAATGATCGCTTCAACCCTATCGAAAAGCTCATGAACGTAGAGGGCGCAGATGTCTCACACCCTCGCCTAATTAAACAAAGATCGGATGAATGGTTTGAAATACGATCGACAGCTAAGATAACCGGAAGTAGCCTTAACAAAGGTCTAGGTCTTGAAAGTTTGAAGAACCAAAAGGATTACTTTGAAACTAAGTTCTGTGGTGTACCCGAAAGGATTAAATCGGATTTCGTTGTTCAAGCCATAAAACATGGTACTGACAATGAAGTGAATGCAGTTGCGACACTTGTAGGGAAAATATTACCAGTTCTGTATCCAAACCATGTATTTTGTGAGGAAGGTTGTGTGGTTTTTTACAACGAAATGTTAAAACCCTTTCTTGTAGTTTCCCCAGATGGAAGTTTAAGAAAAGATCGTTTGATGACATCAACAGAAATCGCCATTGAAATAAAGTGTCCGGTTCGCGGAGTACACTTTGAATTCCCTTCAAGATATGCTTTGCAGTGCTTGGCAGAAATGGAAGCTCTTAATGTAGATAAATTATTGTACTTGTCTTGGACCGAATCTTTCACATCGGTATTTGAATTGAACAGAAACACTCCTATGTTTACCGAGGCAATGCAAATGGCAAAACACCTATTTGATACTGATAGAATTGTCGTACCAAAGAATTGCACGGACAATGTAAAATCTATGAGAGAGGAGATTAAAGCGTACTGTAATAACGTTCCTTTTATTGGACTCTTTCCGTCTGCCAAATCAAGTAAATCCCATGAAATACAAAATGATGAGGCTAAAACAGTTGAAAATTTAGTGAATACAATTCATTCCGTGATAGACATTCATCAAAACAGATACGAGTTAAACCGCGAAAAGGCAAGTGAATCTGTTGTATTTATTTGTTCGGACCTTAACAGGACTTGGGATAAAACTGTGTCGCTAAATGGAGCGGTCGCTTGGTTTACTAAGGGATATAGTTTGGACAACGATAGAATGAGAAAGATCGCTGAAGAGGTACATAACAGATGTCATAATGCAGGAATACACGTTCCATGTGAATCGTTCGATGGACAGTGGCATAACATTGTCACAAGAACAGTCAATAACCACCCACTAACAATATTGCAACTTCAAAAAGATGTATGGAAAGAGGTTGAACAAACCAAGAAGCAATTGATATTATCACGACTATTAAAAATGAATAAAACTCCAATTTGGAAGCTTAGAAAGCAAACTGATAGAACTGTTATACACGTGACCAATTACATCAAAGAAGTCCCACGAATAAAGCATTCAATCCCAAAGGAAAATCACAAAAAGCCAAAAATAACTGTTGATAACGGTAAAACAGGTGATATAGAAAAAACAGTAACAAATACCTCAAATAATTCTCTGAAACAAAAATCAAAAGAATTAGAATTGAATAGTAATTCAGCTTCTAACACTCAGAAAGAACAAGAAATTTCACAAATAAAAGTAACAGACGAAGATTTAGGCTGTTTGTTAGCTCTACTTAAAACCGATAAAGCTAGCAACAAGAAGGGTCAATGGGACAATCAAGTTATAAATGACCTTCATGAGAAATTTTCGTCGCAAAAGCAACTGAAGTCATTGCGCGATGTCGAGGTAAGGGTGATTGCACGTTATTTCAAGAGGACATTGTCTATACGCATAAATGGAAGTGCGACAAAGCAAGCAAAAATTGATATTTTGTCAACATATTTAGGCCATACACGTGAACAGGAAACACACAAAGTGACAATTAAAAAGATGTTAAGTGTTTAGTCTTTACGTGAGCTTTCCGCAAAAGTTGTTTCAAATATGTCTAAGCAAGTATTAAACTGTGCGCTAGCGGAAATCATATGGTCAGAAAAATATGAGGATTGGAAACTACAAACGCGGGTATCACAAAATTGTTACATAGAAGGGATAGATGTAAGTAGGGAATGGTTCTATCACCCAGAAAATAGCACTAATAGAAGTCAGTTGGAAGTCAAATGCATTGATGCGACACCTTTACTAACTCGAACCAGAAGAAAATGTTGTAAAGGTGGTCTTGATGGCATTACAAATGAGGCTTGGAAAGCTGTAGCTAAAACCGGAAATACCTTGCTAACCCCCATTATGGTTGAAGAAATAACCGATCCAATGTCTTCTGCTATGGCTGCTACTCACTTTTCAGAAGATGTTGAAGAAGAAATGTACAAACTCGGATATACAGATGCAGCCAATTTATGTAAAGATGTAAGATTGAGGTGGGAGGCTGAGGATTGTTCAGGGTTCTCTGCCCATGAACGATTTACAATGAGGGAAAATCTTAGACAACGTCTTCTGTCACATGTTAAGTTCAACAAGTTCCCCCCACCTACAAAGTACGTAGCCGGTTGGCCTTTACAACTCTGGGAAGCTCTGATTGCGCATATAGATGCTAAGACCTTATTGTATTCACTGTACCATGGTGGAACGTATAATGTCAGGGCATTTAGTAGTCTTGTTGGTGAAACGTTTTTCTCCGAACTGGTTTTACATGACAAAACTGGTTGTGGAACAGTGACGGCAGCCGAATTTGGTCGATTTATCGGGGCTGCATCGGAGCAGCTTCACGTTCGACATGATCCTAATAAGTAAGGGTTTGGTTCTTAGTTCTTCATATATTGCAATTCTTGTAGCACTATTTTCAGAACAATGTAAAGTTCAGCGTAAAGTTCATCGCGATCAAACATAAATTTTAACCTCTGCGAGTTAAAGATCCTGTAACACAATTTCTTTATGGTTTTATATCATAAATATGACGCTCAAATTAAGATTCATCAATTTTGTAAGTTCCAAAAAGCATTTTTATATAGATATTACCGAATTTAACATTTTATGTAAATAAAGGGAGGAAATAAATAAAATGTCTTTAAAGTCCAAGTCAATTTTTTCAATAAAAATGAATGAATACATTTTAATGATTACATACTAGTATTATATGTTCAAATATTTGCAGTACATATTTTACATATTCTTTGGCGTTTGAAAATTGTTTTATAAGCATAACTATATACATATATATGATTTGGAGTACAGATGACCAGCACTTTAAGTTTTGACATCCATATCCAAAAGAAGTGTCAGATTGCACACATGCAGTTAAGAAATTTGAAAGCAATCAGAAAACATCTCACTCAGAAATCTGCAGAAATCCTTGTTCACGGTTTGATTCATTCACATTTAGACTTCTGCAATGGATTATTCGCTGATATTCCAGCCTATCAACTTGATAAATTACAACGTGTGCAGAATTATGCTGCTAGAATTGTCACTGGAGCTGCTTACTATCAATCCAGTGCTGAAATTCTTAAATCACTCCACTGGCTTCCAATTCGAGCAAGAATCATGTACAAAGTTATTGTGACTGTGTTTCGTGTTGCAAATGGCACCGCTCCATTTTATCTTCGTAAATTGTTCACTAAATGCCAGAGTCAGTACAGGAAAAGACTGAGATCCTTATCATCTAGCCACATTCGGTTTGATATACCAGCAACAAATTCAAAACTTGCTGATAGATCCTTGGCTATTGTGGGACCTAAATGGTGGAATTCATTGCCAGACTATCTGAAGGACATTACCACTGAAAATCAGTTTAAGGCCAAACTTAAAACATACTTGTTTGGACTGTTTTTCAACTAGAGTTGTAGATTGGCTGTGCCATCGAGATTGGGTTTGGGAGTGTCTTGATCAAGCATAATTATGTGTATATAGTCTTAATAATGTACAGCGCAATCGAATATTTAATACATTTTTGCGCTATATAAATGTCTTGTATTTGTATTTGTATATTCACTTAAGTGTGTTATACAGCCTCAATTACAACATACAGGATATTTAAATACCAGTGAATTCTAAAGTGCATTACATGTACAAGCTTAAACATACACAAAGGTTAAATAACAACTGTTTTAAATTATGCGTATTTTCAATTCTTTAATATTTTCCATTCCAGGAAATTTGTGTACAGAACAGGTCAATCACATGTTTATGAACTGTCCGGGTCAGAGGTCACCACAAGCGATTCTTCGTTCGAAAACGATGTATGCAGTGCATGCCTTCCGATGGTTCAAGTCTCGAAAATTACACTTAAGTGAGTTGTCAAATATTTCCGTATAGCACTAAAATAATTATGATAAACCACCTTTTCAACGATTTAAAATACGATAATGCTCGCACATTATCCTATGAGAAAAAAACAATATAATTTATATATAATGGAAAACGAAAATGTTGCAGAATATAATTAACAAAAGCTGCGTTTTTAAGGCTCCACAACCATATGTCGAGCTATGGTTGTGTCTGGTCTTTATCGATAAAATAATAATAACATAAATGCATATTATTTCTATGTATTGATTTTATTAAATGACGATTTAAAAAAGAGAGTGTAGTTAAAAGTCGAAATCGATGCAATAATAAATTTAATGGTCAAGATTGGCGCAGCCGATCGATTATTAAGTTTTGATAATGCATTAGTTATATATATTTCTTTTTTAATTAAACGGTAAATATCATAAATTAATTCTGCACAATACATTGAGTGAAATAAATATTATATTGCCTACTAAGAAAATATAACCACAATGACTTGTATTACGAATCTTTGTTAATAGTTTGATTCGTTTCAGGAATCACGAGTTCGATAAACGACAGGTTAGGACCTCCAAACGCAAGCTAGAGACTGTTTCAACCAATCGCAATGCAACCCAGAAAGGAACGCTCGGTGTTAGATACGAACGTGCACGTCGAAATGATAGCAAAATGTTGTTAACTTCTAGAATGGGCATTGGTGAATAAAGAGTGTCTTGTATGATTTATAAACGTTATGAAAGTTATATGAGAGAACGCTTTATTTTTGATTTTTATTGGTCTTTAATGTAAATAATTGCACAATAATTGGGATTAACAAAAGTGAGATCAACAAGTATAATCACAGACAATTATGAAAAATCACAAATAATTAAAAATCTTTTAAAATATAATCATTGAACGACAACATTAAAATTTCAACAGCGAAACACACACAAAGCTCCGGATCTACATCTTATGGTTTTTAAGCCTTTTACTAGTATTTTTAAAATACTATATAATTATAATTTTTAATCGATTTCGTTAAGATTGCAGTGAAATACTCTTTAACTGAGCACTTATCTGGAGCTCTGCAAATCAAATGAGATAATGTTATTAATTATGATGTTTAAGGCTTTGCATAGCAACACATATACATGTATATCGTTTTTTGATCTTGAACACAAATATTGACAAAGAACATGGCAATGTTTAGCCCATATAAGAAATTTGGAATTGCTCAAATGTGATTAACATTCTAAATGAATAGAAAATTAGTTCCGTAAATGTGTGTTGCCTGCTTAAGTAACGTCTTTCGTATTGAATATCAGTTGAAATCCCGGTGATAGAATTAACATTTACCAAACAGATAAAAAGTAATAAAACAATGTTCTTTAAAGTAAATGTTTAACGAAAACCAAAAATAGAAATCTATACTGCATCTTTAGAATCATAATGTTAGTAGTTTTCACTTGGCCATTTAATGTTTTGCCGATTTATGCTTAGATAAACTGCTCCTGTGTCTATACTGCCACCCACAGGTGTCGCAAAACAAACGCTTTTCCCCGGTATGAGTATCCAAGTGTGCCTTTAAGTCGATCTTCTCACGAAGCTTCACACGCGCAGATGTCACATTTGAATCTCTTTTCGGTCATTTCACGCTTCTGGTGTTTGCGAAGGTCGTCTTTCGTTGGAAAACCTCGTGTTACATTTATCGCACTTGAACATTCTTCGGTCGCCGTGCACGGTACATCTACAATACAATTATACAAATATGAATGAAACAATAATATATTTAAAGGATTTAAAGTAAATGACATAAGGGGTCAATGTTACTGAGAAAATTTATTGCGCCATTCCGTTTAAAATGTTATTTTATGTATTGCGATTAAGCATAAACACGGATGCTTCTCTCAGGGTATGGATAATTGCTCAGTATTATCAGAAATAATGGCGCCACCGCGGGTAAATAAACGATAGTTATGTAAATACATATTGACATAAAAATATTAGTAGGCATTATCTTATTAAATATCTAATTGATCAACCAAAGTTGATTAACTGTAAACATAAGTATGTACCCACATAATAAGGGTCTTCAAAACACTCAAAGCTAAGTAAATATTTTAAATTCAATATAATACCTATGCCTGGTAACAGCATCTTTATTTCGAAATGGTTTCCCGCAGCAGTAATAGCTCCCGAGGCCTGCATGTCGTATTTGATGGAGTGCATGTCCCCATTTGCTTTTCAGCTCTTTGCCACAAGTCTCGCAAATAAAGGTCATGGTCTAAAAACGAAAACACAACATCATTTTATTTGGGAAAACTGAAATATTTGCAACTTGAATTAAATAACCACCGGTTATATATAATTTTATATTTAATATGTTCAACTGGCGTTTGCATATTTTACATGTTCAAACGACGTTTGCAAATTAGACAATGCAGGGAAAAACATGGGTTTATGTCAAATATAACTTTGCTAATGGAATTATAAATGAGTTAGGGACGGGAATGGAATTTACAAACACATATCCTCTATTATCTTACCTGAACATGTATTTCCAGTGAAAACAATGATTGTAAAAGGTAAAACCCATCGGCGTTTGCTTTGCGAAAAAAATATTTGTGTCGAAGTGTTCTAAAAAACTACTAAAGTCTAGTAATGACTACTCACATAAAATAAATGCTTAATTTACGCCGGGTCCTACGGTCTGTGTCTTATTTTTGTGCTCGCAGTGAAAAAAAAAGATATCTGCAAATGATTACCTGAAATCGGGTCCGTGTATTCCAAAATCACAAATCGGCGTTTGCATTTGTGGTCACGTGACAAAACTTGTTCATCCAGGGTGGGTATAAAAAAGTTTAAAACTTCGCTAATATCTATCTTAATCGATGCTTGCGAAGAACTCTTTCAAAAATATAGCCGCTAAATAGTAACGTAATTTTTTTATGTTAATGAATGAACTGCTTTTTCTGTAAAACGTTCTTTACATAACCTTTGTTACACACTAGTGAAAATTTGAAAATTACATTGGGAAACAAAGCAAGTTTCGATTAATTATCTTTACTTTTCATGAAAAAAGAGGTAAACCATTTATTTAAACCATATGAAACGTATATTATGGTTTTATTAATATACTCCATATACTGTGTTACGCTCTTTCATTGTACATGAATGTGTCTATGCTGAATTCCTTAATTTCACTTTGTACATAGAACTAGTATAAGGTATAAGTATTTTAAGTATTAAAAACTTGAAACTTTAATGTAATATTATATATATATTTGATTCCATACACGAAGGAATGTTATGCGTAGTTAAACATGCAATACAAATAGTGTTAGCTTGTTTAGAGAAATAAGGAAATATGAGGAAATGACATCAACCTCCTTAGAAGCATTCAAATATTTGAGAGTCCAAAGTATGTCAAGTATCTAAATGCTCTAGCAGCATGTTAGCCATTGTCTGTGGAATGAAAAAACAACATCATTTGTATAAAGATATTTGGAATTATTCTAAAAATTATTTACGAAAGAAATGCTCACTCAAGTTTAATGAGTACGGTATGTGCCATTTATCATTATTGTTAAACTTAGCGTTAAAGGTAAATTCTAATGTATATTTACAGAAATTTCGTTTGGATCTGTGGGTTATTTATTGTTTATGTGAACTAAATTATAAAATTAAAAGGAATTATGACAGAATGAAAACTTATTTTGATCTTCATCCGCATCTTTATTCTCACTACATACCATTGGATGGGCATAATGTCACCTTAACGTATTATTTTGAAAATGAATGCAGTAATAATAATAATAACAATAATAATCGATAAATAAATAAATAAATAAATGAATAAATTATTAAATAATAATAACTTTACACATTAAGACATATACAGATTGTAACATCACATCAAAAACTTATTATCAAGAAAATAGAAAGAAAATACGCTATAAGAAATAATATATACTTATAAAAAGTTTCTTGAAAGAGCTTCACCCGTTGTTTTTCCTTCAACGAAGGGCTAACGTGTACTCCGAGGTATTCGTTATTTTACGACAGTTTCGTTACAATTTTTGGTATAACGAACGTTTTGGGTTAGAGGGTAAATTACTAACTAGAAGCAAAGGGGAAAAAATGATAATACTTTTTGTTTATTATTAGCTAATTGTGTCAGTTCATATAAAGGAACCTTGCAGTATTATAATAAAACAAAATAAGTAAAAGAACATGCAACTGTTTTTATAAAAAGAATTGTGGCATTTAAAATATAATCCACTGTATATGATACACAACACAAATTGTATGTTATAGAAACTCAATATGGAACCGAAAGCACTTCACAGATTCCAAAGATATTATCATTCTGATCAATTAACTTTCCATTTTTTTGTGTTTTAATTTTGATAAAACAGCGTTTAAACGGAGACAAAAAACGTGCTTAATTCCAAACGATAAACTTCAAACATAACCCTTTTCGTTCAGATTTATATTTAACTATTTCGCAAATATAAACTCGTGTACAGACTCAGTTATTAATAAATGGATTGGTAATTTTGTTGTTGTTGTTGCTGCCTCGAGAAATCACCTATTTTCAAAATTATTGTTATTGAAGGAGAATAAGTCCTTGAATTACAATTACTGACATACTGTGTTTCATCATTACTGGTGATAATTAGTTTGAAAATAGTTTCAAATTTTATCAATGTATTATATGACTATTTAACGATCACAAGAGACTTAATTGATTGCATTTGCTGCTTAAATTGTTGTTGTTTTTTTTAACATATTGCTGAATACTCTCGCCTTCTTTTTAAAAACAAAGCAATATCACTTAAAGATAATATTTCCTATAGATAATCATAAAATTAATACAACTTTAAACAACACAACTTATTTTGTGTTTTGCATATGAAAGATATATAATTATGTATGTTCAACGTATATTGCTAAACATGTTTTGGGCACATTAGAAATATTTAAACGATGCATCAGAATTACATAATAATGCATTTCTACCAATCTCTGAAGACTTGAAGCTGCCGCGGAAATTGATGATCTTTTAATGTTATATAATGCTTTTAAAGTTTGTTTGTGATATTAACCAGACTCGCATAACAAAAATAAACACTTAGACTGAAATATCGAGGATTTTTTTCTGAATGATTACTAATTCATTTGAATGGTATGAAATACGCTTACTTACTAGAATGTTGCTGTTTATCAAGGTATAAATGTCTTGAGCTCTGCACCAATAAAAATAGTTATTTTGTTATTTATCATGTAGTAAAAACAGCATTGTGTATGTCTTTAGCAAAAAAAAAAAATAAATAAAAAAAAAATACAAAAAAAAGGAAATAGAAATTGATTTTTTATCAAAGGTAAAGGTGTCAGTTCAATTATAGGCACCTTGCAGTATTCTCGTAAAAACAAGTTAAAGTAAAACGTAAAAGAACATTAAGCCCATATGTGAGACAAATGTTAGCATTACTTTATACGTACGTAACGTAGCTCATTGTTGGGAATATAGATTGCTCCGATTATTGTTAAGTGCATACCCGTCAATACCCTTTAACATACAAAATCCATAATTTAATATTGTTTTTAAATAGCACACGTGTGTAATGATATGGTATAAAAAAATGAAAACATCTTAGGCAAAATATGCTAGATGCTTAAAATGTTTTAAAGTCTAAATTGATAGATATATAAAGTTTTGCTTTGGGTATATATTTGATTGTATCATCCTTATTCACGCAAACGGTACAATACAATCTTATATGTATTAGAAAAACAAGGAATTCAAGTATTAAAGATTTGAGCGATTTGACCTGATCGTTTTACAACAAGATTTCCAACAA